TTTACAAGTTTGTATAATTTTTTTGTCTGCACCAAGTGTAGAAATGTGAAATACGTATTAATGTAGAGAACAATGTTATTTTTTACCAAACTGTTAATCACAAATTCTTTTAAAGACGTTAATTAATGTATTGATATATTCATTGGTAGGAACACCACTTTAATTATAAAAGTTAATAACAATTACTTTACTTAATGTGACATCACGTGATTCATTCACTTTTTAAAACAAACAATGAAGATTGAAGATTATGTTGCCCATTTAAAAGTTTGACGCATTATAAAGCTAAATTTTATGTAAAATTGTATATTACATAACGATATGTCTATTTGCTTTTCTGATTAGGTTCCAACACTATTATCAATTTTCAACAGTTCTTCTAAATTGAGTATACAATAAATTTCTTTAGATCTACAGATAAACTGTCGGAGGAACGGAAAGTCAAAGTAGAACCTAGATCTAGATCTAAAATCTAGGTCAAACATAAATTAATTAGTTAAAAATAAAAACAATTATTAAAACACAACAAATTATTGGGTTTCCTTGATAAACTTGTTTAGTCCTTAAATATTTGATATAAACCTTTGCTTTATTTTAAGCTTCTACTACGAGAATACAAGGGATTTATCTATCTAGATTCTAGAATTTGTGCTACGGAAAAACTAGACTTAAGCCAGCCGTAGATTCTACATCTAGATCTAGCTCTATTTAGATCTAGAATCTTTGCCAATAATGAGTTTCTATACTAAACTATTTCCTACACCCCCCCCCCCCCCACAAACACACACACACACCCAAAACATTTCTACCGTCCAATTCAACGAAATATAATTATATGCTTTTTCCAGTGTCCGCCCCCTCCCAGAAAATTCTACCCCCGCCCCCGAAAATTTCAAGTACCCCCACCCGTCTCCGGGGAGGAAAAAGTCTGATAGAAACATTGGTCGCATTTGTAGATCATACAAACTAAAGGAAGAACCTGGGCGGGGCTTCGCCCCTACCGGAAGAGTTGCATGAAAAAAACTGCACGCTAAACACTTTTTTTAGATTACAAAAATTTCTCCCTCCGGGGAGGAAAAAGTGTGAAAGAAACGCTGGTGTCGCGCTTAGCAACTCCACGAAGAATTGCATGAAAGAAACAACTTTTTAGATTAGACACATTAATTAGGCGGTAATTTTATTATAGAGTATCGACGAAGAAATTTCTTTTGAGTTGGGGAGGGGGGGTGGGGGGCTCAGACGTTCTTACGCGGGGGTGGGGCTTCGCCCCTACCCGAAGAATTGTATTAAAGAAACTCTTCACGCAAACCACTTAGATTAGACAAAATTGCCTTTTTATTCAATGTTTACTCGAGAATCAATGACGTCATATTACTGTGTGCACTCTCCGGCTTGATATTATTTTCTATTCCATGCTCAATATGACGTCATATTTCGTTTCCGTATTACTATGCATGTTTTTATTTTGCTTGTGTTTTCTCTACAGCGTTCTTGTCAGATACATAGACAGACAGCGAAACTATTAGTATTAACTAGAAAAATGGCCCGTTGAGGAAGGATACAAAGGGCGCTATGTTGATAGTGCTGTCTATTTTCTCGGTACTTTAATTTATACAAAATATAGTCATAGGCATATCCCTAAACCATGCACCTAATCTCATTCATGACAAAAGTCGCATTTAGAGTTTCTTTCAGGCAACTCTACTTGGGAGGATGGGGCTTCGCCCCCCTACTCCTCCCCCCCACCCCCCCCCCCCCCCCACACACACACACACTCCAAATCATGTCTACCGTCCCATTCAACGAAATATAATTATATGCTTTTTCCAGTGTCCGCCCCCTCCCAGCAAATTCTACCCCCGCCCCCGAAAATTTCAAGTACCCCCACCACCCTCCGGGGAGGAAAAAGTCTGAAAGAAACACTGGTCGCATTTGTAGATCATACAAACTAAAGGAAGAATCTGGGCTGGGCTTTGCCCCTACCGGAAGAGATGCTTCAAAAAAAACAGCACGCTAAACACTTTTTAGATTAGAAAAAGTTCCCCCCTCCGGGGAGGATAAAGTCTGAAAGAAACACTGGTGTCGCGCTTAGCCACTACCCGAAGAATTGCATTAAAGAAATTGCAAGAAAACCACTTTTTAGATTAGACACATTAATTAGGCGGTAATTTTATTATAGAGTATCGACGAAGAAATTTCTTTTGAGTTGGGGAGGGGGGGTGGGGAGCTCAGACGTTCTTACGCGGGGGTGGCGCTTCGCCCCTACCCGAAGAATTGTATTAAAGAAACTCTTCACGCAAACCACTTAGATTAGACAAAATTGCCTTTTATTCAATGTTTACTCGAGAATCAATGACGTCATATTACTGTGTGCACTCTCCGGCTTGATATTATTTTCTACTATATGCTAAAGGTGACGTCATATTTCGTTTTCGTTTCACTGTGAAAGTTTTTTAATTGCTTGTGTTTTCTCTAGAGCGTGCTTGTTAGATACATTCACAGATAGATAGATAGTTACATAGACAGACAGACAGCGAAACTATTATTATAGATTATTATTATCATCATTATTATTATTATTATTATTATTATTATTATTATTATTATTATTATTATTATTATTATTATTATTATTATTATTATTATTATTATTATTATTATTATTATTATTATTATTATTATTATTATTTTTATTATTATCATTATTATTATTATTTCTATTATTATTATTATTATTATTATTATTATTATTATTATTATTATTACTATTATTATTATTATTATTATTATTATTATTATTATTATTATTATTATTATTTATTATTATTATTATTATTATTATTATTATTATTATTATTATTATTATTATTATTATCGTAATTATGATTACTATTAAAAACAAAATAATTTCATTTACCAATGTTCCTAAGAGTCCATTCTCTACGACGACAGTTCTGTTGACGTTGCCGTTGACCTGAGGCCAAAAAGTTTCTATTTTGTTTCTGATCCAAAAGAAAGAATCGTTACTGTTAAATGTCAATTGGTCACCGTAAAATGCTGCGCATATAGTGCATGTCTTTAATTCATTCGTGTATCTAAAAGCCGTGGATAGTGGAGCCACTGCTATACACATCAAGCCACATTCTATCTCGCTTCTCACGGGGATCGGATCGTCACAGTATACAAGCTGCGCTCCGTATTCTTTGAACATGTAAGATTTATTTTCCCCATTCACTGCCTTGTTAGAAACGTGATTCAAAACAAATAAAATTAAACGGAATCCTAAACAACAAATTGATAGTTCCCGGAAATTCATCGCCGGATGTCACTTAAAATGTAACAAGTATATGTAATTTCAGATCACAACTATTTCCAATGGGCGACGAGTCTACAAATAGTAATACTGCTTTCGAGCTTCAGTTTATAGTCTCAATTTTTAAGGGACATGTGAACAAAAAATAATTTATTGACTGGTTTCTCAAGGTATTTGATCAATTGCATTATTTTTTTTTTTTAAGTGGATTGATCAATAGCATTGTTTTATTTTCAAGTGGATTAGGGAATAGACAACTTCATTTTGATCTATAGTCCATCAATACGTTTGTATTGTTCTCGACATTGTAACGTGTCGTATGTAAGTAGAAATGATCGTCACGTTTTACGGCGTTTTACAGTGTACACCGCGAACAAAGGCTTCACGATAGCATGAAATAATAGACGACCCGGGGACTAACTCAGCGGCAACCAATTCGGCGACAACCCGGCAACAACAAGCCCACGACGACCAACCCGGTGACAATTCATCGTAAAACAACCAACCCGGCGACAATTTAGTTACCACATCGATTGACCCCGACATGGTGACGCCTCTGAGTAAATAACGATTTCATTTTGATATTATATGTTCAATCAGTTATACTTCGTTTTATACCTTTAATTTATGGTAATTCAGGGTGTAACCCCACCCCCTTTAACAATTGTACATTTAAAACGAGTAACTTCATTACTTTTACAGCTAGGTTGATAAAATTTCACATGTAACTATTATATCATATCGAATTTGTAGTTCTGCGTCAACTTTTCATCTATTTCCGGTATTATACAAGAATATTCGAGAAATTTTAGGGGAGATCACTCCCTCTTTATTTTGAACATGATGTTATATGAATTGATATGAATTGATATTTTGCCAAGTTGACAATTTGTCGATTGGCAAAAGTTGATTTGTTTCATACTCCGCTTACAGCCATTACGAAATCTCATTGAACAAGCCCTACATGAAAGAAAGGCGAATACAATCTAAACAAAATACTAGAACTAGAATGTAGGCCTACATAGCATACAACTAATTCTTTTCGCAAATATCTTTAAATCGAATGAACGATATAATAACATTTTAACTTAGTCACTGTAATCACTCTTATCCCTTTACGTTAGTTTGGAATCGGACTAGTATAAGGGGGTCACGGACAAGCGGTAGGGGAGGCGAGGCTTAGCGATAGGGTGGCGTTAAGTAGAGCTAAAATTGTAATGAAAAAGAATGGAAAAAAATAGATGAATTCCAATTGCTGCTATAACCAAGTTAGGGATTTGTTTTTTTAAATTTTGACATGAATATATTTTCAGTAACAGAAAGTTTTTATTCTATTATGGATATTCTTTCCACAAAATGTTCTAAGTCGACGTCAGGTTAATGGTCTCTGTCTCCCACAAGTCAATGGCCTCAGTCCCACACAAGTCAATGGTCTCAGTCCCACACAAGTCAATGGCCTCAGTCCCACAAAAGTCAATGGTCTCAGTCCCACACAAGTCTATGGCCTCAGTTTAACACTAGTCAATGGCCTCAGTCCCACACAAGTCAATGGTCTCAGTCCCACACAAGTCAATGGCCTCAGTCCCACACAAGACAATGGTCTCAGTCTACCTGGGTTGGCGGAGTAAAGTCTATGAAAATGTTGGTTTAACATTGGGTGATACTAACTATTTTTAACCTAAATCAGCGGTTAAAAAACATGGGTGTACACGCCCCAAGTGTGAGCGAGAGAAACGTGAGGACTAATTCAGAAGGACAAAAAGAAAGAGAGAAACGGCAAGAGTGGCAGAAAGAAACAGAGAGAGACTTGATGAGAAAGAATGGGGAAGACAGAGAGAGAGGGAGGAAGAGATAGAGAGAGGAATGAAGAAAGAGAAAAGGGAAGAGAGGCAGACAGAAACAGAGAAATACTTAAAGAGAAAGAAAATGAAAGAGATTGTCAGGTTTTCTAATTTCAGAAATATTTGAGAATTTCTTCGACAAAAACTAGCAAAACTTCCTGCGAAGTTAGCAGCAGACAGCAGATTTACTTGAGTCATCACACAACTACAGTTCCCATGGACACTAAGTCAACCGTCATATGTGACGTCACCGGTAGTTGATCTGTTGGTTAGCCCTAGTCCGGAATTATTTAATGTCGTGGATTTGATGATACCAGCAATACTGAGAAATTTGTTACATATATGCTCGCTGACAGTGAAATGCAATATACGGTTTATGTGCTTTTCTTTAAATTATATCTAATACGGAACAAGTTTTAGGGTCAAGACTGAGGTTATGAAAAGGGTTAAGTATAGTCAGAGCTAGCGTAGAATACTATTTTTTTGCTGTTGTTTTTCTTGCTGGATTTGCTTCCGTATCTTTCGTCTACTCAAGAACAATCAGCACGATAAGGGTTCTATGATTCTGGAGTTTTCTCTCCTAGAAGGGTTGCTGTAGCTAGCTATCGAGCCTCATCTGCCCAAGGGTTCGAGCTCACACCTTTTGGAGTAAGCAACTACACGTTCTCCTACTGGGCCACACCCACACCGCCCCATCGAAACGCATTGACACAGGTTGTGGAAAAAAATACTGTACAAATCATATCTCTCTACCGTGTCGTGATACACACGTTGAAGGGAGGGAAATCAAGATGGGAAATAATTCACTCTGTTGTTTTGAAAATGTGCTTAATACAGAAATGTGACAGGGCACAGAAACTCAAACATAGATATTGTATCCTTATGTTCAGTTTGTTGACTTGTGTAAAATATAATTAAAAGCTCTATTCTCAAGATATTCTAATTCTCTATACTTGAGATGTACTAAAAATACATATTTATACAATCCATTAACGTTAAAACATTGTAATTTATATGTGCTAAAAAATTTGAATTAAATAAAACTAAAGGAAAACAAAATGTTTCCGTTTTGAATGTTGGCTTATCGTATAGTTCAAATGGTAGCCTTAACTACATGACTTAGATACACATTAATCCAGAATAGCTATGGCAGGATCTCTTCCTGTGGGGAGGTAACTGTGCTATTCATGACAAAGAAATATGGCTGTATGCTTGAATTAGAGAACAGAAGGCATATTATTTATAATATACAGTGTAAATAATTAATATTTAGTTTTTACTTACTCGTGTGTTCATTTTTTCTTTTCTTTGATCATTAGCTGTTATAAAAGTTTGGTATCGTCAGCACGACTCGACACTGACCTTTTGTGAGTTTTTTCGATCTGTTTCACCTCTGGTCAAGAGAAATTACTTTATGGAAGAACTAAATTATTTTCAAAGAGCGGTTTTCTTTACAATATTCCATACATCGAAGATATTTGCGACGTTAGCTATTAATGAAAAACATATGTATCTGAAAAAAATTAGTATTTACATGAACTTTCCTCCCCTACACAGTAATGCGCCAGACCAACAAGACTTGCATTGTAAGCCAGATCCTTCTTCAGAGCAGATAAAGTAGAATATATCTGCTTCTGTGACCTCCCTATTTGAAGTGCATGTGTGCCTAGCCGCCTTTACTTCCCCGTAATTTCCCAGGTACTCATGAGAGCTGGCGGGCGCAATGAAAATTATTTTGCCTCGAGTCTAGTACCGAACTCAAAGTTTCCGGGTTGATCATTCTCTTCTCTACCACTCGGCCATATCACCTCCAACATTCATCTGCTATCCACTGCCTCACACTGACTCCCCTGTTACTTATTTAACTAAAATACATTTATTACACATTTAAACAAAAATTATTTGTCACTAAAAAAAAAGAAATTATGTTCAGGAATACTTTATTTCAAAATAGTTTCTTTTCAAAATATTGCATCATTAATAACACTTGATTTTTTTATCACAAAATAGTTTCCAAAACAACTCATTATGTAAATTACGAATATAGAGTTATAGGTAATTTACAATCAGCAGTTCCACTAATAAGTATTTTAAAGGCAATGAGATTAAATCTGTAAAAACAAAATACAAAATCTACAACCCCAAATTTTAGATTGTTTTGCTATGTGGTAACTGAAAAAAAAGGAAATTTGTTTTTATTTTTTATACTCCGCGAGAAGATGCCGTATTGTATTAGAAGAGTCAAATACGGTTTTATTTAAAAGAGAAAAAAAAAGACAGTCGAATCGCTAAACGCTCCAAGAAACGCTGAAGATTTTCCCACCCTTTTTAAAGTGTATTCGGTAATTATTTTGCCTGTAAAAGTTGATTCATCAGATACATCACTGTGCGCCAGGATTAAATACAGCAACATAGATTTAAACAAGTCTTGGTTACACCTATTTATAGCTTGCTCTATTACTTTGATACAGAAGGATAAGTATCAAACACTAATTTCGACAGGATTATTCTAATGTAACTTGCTTAGTTACAAAAACAACGTATTTTGCTGTCAACAGGAAAAGGCCAATGCCTAACCCAAATCGAGCTATGACATAGAAATAAATTGTTCATGTGTTTATTTTTTTTAAATAATAAGCTACTAATTATTAGGCCTTCGTGGTGGCATTTGAGTACATTCAAGTGGGACACAGAGGCCAGATGACTTAAGCTTTGCATACCTAGTGTTGAGTGACGATTTAGTCACTTATTTCGTTCTTCTATGTTAAAAGAATATTCAACGCAGTTCATCTACATTTCTAAAAATTAAAAGATAAAACAGCCTTACATAGGAAATGAAAAAAGTAATAAGGCCAACAACTTTAAATAATTAGTTACCTTTTTGAACCTGACGGTAAATGGGGCTAAATTATCAGACTGGCTTTTCAATTTTTAATTAAAAATATGAATTTCTTTTACAAAAATTGTCTATTGGGTTATAAGAAAAAATCATGTACGGTGGTTTTCATAATGTAACGTAGCAACTAAAGTACATATGTTTAAAAAAATGTTCAAAAAGCTTTTGAAAAATGTTTAGTCTTTTAAATTATACACAATTTAGAATAAACATATTTGCTCTTTGAACTTACGAGAAATATAATTTTACTTCATTAGAACTAACATGATTTTTAATGTGCATTTTGTACGAAGTACTTTTAAACAAAGTTTGAGCTCTGAAGATTAAAAATAAACAAATTGGTGTTCGAGCGATAAAACTAGAGCGACGTGTCTGTCCTTTGGCAAGTTGATGTTTGCCAAGTTACTATCATTTATATTTAAAAGCTATTAGCTTTTTAAAAATCGTGTTGTTATTGTCATAAATTTGAATTTGAATTTTTTTATTTTTTAGCACTATTGTATATTTTAAAATATAATGAAATACATATTAACTATATATTAATACCAAAAAAGTAATGTAAAATCTATGCTACATAATAAACATTTCAAATTGTAAAGTAGCTAAAAAAGTTGGATGATACAATATTTAAAAAGCTATGAATTTAAAAATGGAATTTCACAGAAATCAGGCTTCTGCGTATTCTATATATTTAATTCCTAAATCTTATATAATATTCTGAAACATAACTAATTTAAACTCCTAATTTTAATTTTTAAATCTATTAAAACAAATTTGTATTAGCACTCGGTATAAATTGAAATAAAGGGATAAAAAAATATAGTCAAAACCACATCATGTGTAATACCATAATTATTGCAATAATATAAAAATGTATCAATTACACAAAGATATATGTAATGGAATTGTCCCTTCCATCTGTCTTTTAAAATGTAAGAGCATAAATCTGAGCGCCGAATTTAAGCAGATATATATATATATATATATATATATATATATATATATATATATATATATATATATATATATATATATATATATATATATTGCTTGTGTATATGTATGTATAATCATGTATATGTATAGTTGTGTTAGGCCTCTGCTAACATTTGTATAATTTAGTAACATGTAATAAAATAATACATATTTTGCAAAATAAATTTCAGATTAACAATTTGAAGAAAATTCTCTCTCAATATCACAGTTATAAACGGTCAACAGCGAAATGTATAAACAAATTTTCTCGTCTTAAATTTGAAAAGTCTTTTCTGTTGTCACCTTAGGCGCTGTTAAATTTATTGTTAACAATTTTACAATATTGAAGTGCAGACAACGAAACGTTTAATTTTAATAAAAATATTTTTATTTTTTGCTATTAGTCGTTAACTGTCTAATCAGATATGTGGTTTTATTTTGTTTTATTTGACAATAAAAATCAATTTTGGTATCACACACAGTTCTGAAAAGTTAAAATTTTACGAAATATTTTAAGCAAAACCTTCTTGACACGGCTATTAATACAACAATTTTACTTCACGATATAAATATGATTTTAAAACGATTATTTACCAAACGCAATCCAAAAAAAAATAATAAGTTAAGACAAGGAATGTTTAACAAACTATTTATATTTAGTACGCAGGTTAATTTCAGTTTCTTTCAGGCATCTCTGCGAGAGGGTAATGCCCACAGCTCTCTGGATCAATTCTATCACCAATCGAGAGAAAATTGAATAATCTATAATGCATATAGAAAATAAATCCTTTAACCTGTGTTCGCCCCCCCCCCTTTCCCTCACACGGACAGTGCGCCCCCTCGCCATAGAAAAATGTCTGAAAGAAACCCTGCTGTAAAACTTAGTATCGTATCTGGGGTATTTGCTGACTGGCTTAACTAAACCACACCATGTAACAGTGTAGTGATTGTGAGAGCCAGTTATTTTAGCTGTATAACTGTATAGAAATACAATAATATGCTATTTTAGAAAATAAAATTCTTTCGTTTTTTAATTCGCTTTTGCATGATTTTAAAATAAATGTATTTTGACTTTTAAAAAGGCGCTTATAGAATTTATTTCGATAGAAAATATTAGCAGTCAGTCGCGTATTTTGTGCGAAAAGGGAGATCTTGTCTTTTACTTGCCTTGTTCGCTATACTAAAAAAATTGTTTTAGATAAAATTGATCCCATCTTTTGGGTTTGATTCCCTGTGGTCTCGTAACCAACCCAACAACCTAGCTACTCTAGATGTGCTGAGGACAGTTTCAAATGCGTAGGAATACGTGACCTTTATGAGATTCGAACCGAAAAAAAATTAGTTCGAACTCTATACAAATCAAACACTGGGTTATGGCTCTATTATTGTCTTGTTCCCATCTCTTTGTACTTTGCTTAATGTTGTTTAGATGGTTTTATATTATAATATAGCCATTCGGTAAGAATAATTATAGCAAGAAATCTTTGCTATATACTAAAATGATATTTCTAGTTGGGTACTTAAAACTATTTTTAAACGAGTTATTTGGATTTTTAAAAATCTGAAACTAAAGTATTTGCTCTTAAGTCTGTTTTTTTTTAAATGTGTATTAATCTAAGCTAAAATGTAAGATGTTTTTCCATTCAAAAACGTGATTACAAAAACGTGAGATATTTTTATACAATTTCTGGCTATTTCTATGAGCCCTACTCTGCTATGAAAAGCCTTTTTTTCTTGGTGGGTTTTCGCTGGAATGGAGTCTTGTCCACGGCGTTGGTTTTTAAGATGTCAGCAGCCCGTTTGGCCATTTGCAGTGTGGACAAGGCATCGTACCTACAGAAGAAACAAAGCATGAGGATGTTTTAAAAAAAATGTTTTCCTTTTTTCTTTAATCCTCGTCACTCCCTGTGGAGTATAGGGCAGAAACAAATCTTCGCCCTCCCACTGTTTTGGGCGGGCCACTTTAATTCGTGCCAGGTCTTTTAAAAAAAAAATACTTAGGTAATATTACAAAAATATTAACTAAGTATATTTCCCAAACGATTCTCCAATGAAATTTGATAGTATCCCTTATTGTTTCCGTAGCAGGTAGCGTCATTGAGGAAGAGCTGAGATGCATCCGCAACGGGTGGCACTATTTAAAGGGTGACATCAAATAGAAAATAACGGAAAATGTACTTTATGAAGCGTATTTTCCCGGTCTTGAGTTCGAATCTGGACACGACAGTAGGGCGTCATGAGTATAACCAGCTCTGATGAGTACGTAAAGGGAACCTAAAGACGGCTGGGCAAAGTGCTGACCACACTATCTCTTCATAGGCCGAGTTCATAGAAACAGATGAACTCTATATCATTTGCCCAATGGACCGTCAGATTCGAAAAGAGAACTTTATTAAATGTATTATACTGTCAAAAAAAATTGTATATGGAGAGAGGTGACGCTAAGCCTAATATGTTAAATTGTTACATTGGGTGGAGGGGTTGGGGGGGGGGGGGGGGGGTGGGGGAGTGAGACCCTCAATTAATGCATTGTATTTCACACAACCTTGTGATGCCTTGCCTAGTATTATTATTTATATGTGTGACCTTGGTAAACAATAGATGCAACACAATGGATGTTTTACTTCAATACAGAGCTACTCCTGCAGTTACTATGACAACCTACCTAGCCATTTTTATTGTTCATGTTTTCATGCCTTGCATCGTGTTTCAAATTTCCATGGCATCATAGCGTGTCATGGAATTTTAATGCCAACATGCCTTATCAAAAATGTCTCTATTATGTAACAATGACAATCTACCATGTTGGGTTCATTATTTATGTTTTTCCTAATTGATCTACATCAACCTTCGTGTTACCATGACTACCTAACTCGCCAACAGTTCTACACCAACTTTCGTGTTACCATGACAACCTACCTAGCCAAAAGCTCGTCCTTCATTGCCTGGGTGCTAGTTCTCCCCGACACCCCGCTGGCGCCCGCCTCAAAATCACTGGCGTGGAACTTGAGCGCATTTTCTCCGAACGGCCTATTGTGTAAAGGATCCCAAGCTCTGTGAAAATGTATTCAAAGTTATTTTTTTATACCAGCTGGACCACGACTACTCATAAGGCTTTAGTGTCCCGAATTAATAGAATTCTAAATTAACTTCGCGGCCCTTTTCTCTAAATATTTTAAGTGTCAGAAATGTAATAGAATTCGTAATGAACTTCATGACCTTATTCTCTTAACATTTAAAAAGTGTAAGAAATGTAATCGAATTTTAAATGAACTTCATGGCCTTATTCTCTTGACATTTAAAAAATTATAAATGTAATAGAATTCTAAGTGAACTTTGTTCTCTTAACATTTAAAAATTGTTAGAAATATAATAGAATTCGTAATGAACTTTATGGCCTTATTCTCTTAACATTTAAAAAATTATAAATGTAATAGAATTCTAAGTGAACTTTGTTCTCTTAACATTTAAAAATTGTTAGAAATATAATAGAATTCGTAAGGAACTTCATGACCTTATTATCTTAACATTTAAAAAGTGTCAGAAATGTAATCGACTTCTAAATGAACTTTATGGCCTTATTTTCTTAATATTTAAAAAGTGTTAGAAATGTAATAGTGTTCTAAATGAACTTCATGATCTAATTCTCTAAACATTTAAAAAGTGTCAGAAATATAGAATTCTAAATGAACTTTATGGTCTTATTCTCTTCACAATTAAAAAGTGTCAGAAATGTAATAGAATTCTAAATGAACTACGACTATAATCGATAAACGTTTATTTGAAAACAATCAACGTCTCAGAAGACCTTGTAGCGTTTTCCGATCGTTACACCAAGAGGTATTTAAGTGGAGAAAGATAAGAAAGGGCAATATCGATGGGGTGAAGGGGGTGCGGATCAATAACACGCTAACACTTCAACAAAATTTATTTCTGGGTGATCAAAGGAAGTAAAATCAATTATGATAATGCAATCAACAGCCAACAAAATAGAAGTAATTTGACGTAAAATAATCCTAGGCGTTATTTAACGGTTTTTGCTTAGAGTTGTAAAAATATTAAGATTGATTACCAGATAAAAATGTATTCAATAATAAATATACATAAATGTTTATTCATATATATTTATATGTATATATGTATATTTATATAAATCCATAAATATACGTATATATATATATATATATATATATATATATATATATATATATATATATATATTCATTTATTTATTTATTTATTTATATATGGGTGAAATTATCATTACGTTGGTGAGTTAATAACATTTTCTGTATTTCTAATGTTGTATTACAGCTGACTATACTAGTATGCTTTTAATTGACAGTAGACAGGAATACGAGACTCGCAGATATATGAGCTTGGAGATTAAGCTGTTGTTTCCAGATACGAATTAGGGCACACTTGTACATACTGAATATTATTTATTTTATTTTTTTGTTTTTTGATTATCAGCTAAGCTGATTTAATCGATAATAAAAGCTTTTAAAATTTAGTAAAAAGGGTCCTGGGCCTAACCCCCGGTTATTTAACCCACACCCCCCTCCGCTACGTCATTACCTCACCCCATAGCCAATATCCAAGACAATTTACTCCTTCCCCCCTTCATTGTTACCCCGTCCTCTGCCAATACCTCCAAATGAATTACCCTTATAACCTAATCATAACTGTTTACTTAACATAACCCTTTTACCAGTGGCGTAGCGAGGTCGGGTCTCACCCGGTGCGGCACTTAATGGTGTCACCCCCCCCCCCCCTCCAAGGCGTAGCGACCCTTCCCTGGGACAAGTTTTCGATTTGCACCCCCCCCCCCCTCCCACAAGTTTTTGATTTGCAACCCTCTCAAGTTTTTCTCTATATTTTGCTATTTTTTGCCTTGGTGTCACCCCCCTAAATGGTGTCACCCGGTGCGGTCCGCACCCCCGCCCCCCCCCCCCTCGCTACGCCTCTGCCTTTTACCAAACCTTAACTCTAAAACCTAATCTAACTAACCTTAACACACTTGTTCTTTTTTTTTGTCGGAGAATAATTTATAGGGAGGTAATTCACCTCTACTTAATGTTTTGGTGGGGGGATGGGATTGAATTGGTGATATTGATGGTAAGTGGGAATAAATTACATCAGTGGCGTAGCCAGGATCGTCTCAAGGGGGGGGGGTTCCAATTTTTACCCGGGGACAAACTTTCGATTTGCACCCCCCCCCTCAAACTTTCGATTTGCACCCCCCTCAAACTTTCGATTTGCACCCCCCCCCCTCAAACTTTCGATTTGCACCCCCCCCTCAAACTTTCGATTTGCACCCCCCCCCCCCCCTCAAACTTTCGATTTGCACCCCCCCCTCAAACTTTCGATTTGCACCCCCCCTCATACTTTTATATATATATATACCGAGGGGTCTATGGGGGGGGTTATGACCCCCCCTTAACACCCCCCCTCTGCCTACGCCACTGAATTACATCCCCCCCCCCATAGCCTCAGTTTCAGAAAGCATCCTTTCAATAAAATTCGAAGTTATAATGTTTACTTTTATATCGATGCATTCAGAAATACATTAACTACATTTACATGCGTTGTCTAAGTAAACAAAATAATTAACACATGAACCAATCAATTTACTTGCAGCCCTCTAACATTGGCATGCAAGTGATGAAGGTAAATTGATCCTGTTTTTTTAAAGCCTTAGCTCTATCTTAGCTTTAACACATTTAACTAAAACTGGCATAAGAGTCGTGTTCTATACTAGGCTAATCCGCCTTAACTAATGTTTAACCTTACCTGAGGTTGGGGTCGGCAGATAGGGGAACGATTTCAATTTTTTTGGCCTCAGAAAAACGCGAAAAATCTGTGGCCTTGAGCGTAGTTGACCTTTAGAAAAAGAAAACATAAAATTAGATTGTGTTCAGATAGTGAAATATTTAATATTTACAATGAAGGTTACATACAAAGTCGCCTTCGTATTTTTGAAGACAGTTGTTAATAAACATAAAATAATTAGAATGTATTCCCTTCAAATATGTTTTCAGATTTTTAAAGTAATATTATTTTTTCCATTCAGTTTCATTATATATATATATATATATATATATATATATATATATATATATATATATATATATATATATATATATATATATATATATATATATGTGTGTGTGTGTGTATGTGTGTGTGTGGGTGTGTCAACTCAGAGTTAATGTTAACGACACTGAAATAAAATATCCGTGATACCTGCGTCAAATCACAAAATTGTGGTAACTCTATACTGCGTTTCAAATATATGTATTTGCATGTATCAATTATGCCGTCTTAATTAAGAGGAGTTTATTGAATAAATGATGGAATATTTCTAAACACAGACATACATTTCTAAAACCTAAAGTGTATAGGTTTTGGCAACGGACCAGTTGCCAAAACCTGTAAATGGATTCCAGACAAAATGGTGACACCAATTTCCATGCAGGTGATATCTTAATTTTTGGAAAGGTAATCTTAATGATGTCCGTGATATTTTACTTGTTGGAAATGTAATCTCAATGAAGTCCCAGATATCTAATAAGCTTAAAAGGTAATCTTTTTAATGTCCGTGATTATCTTACCTGTGATCTTAATTATGTCCCACTTGTTGAAAGAGTAATCTAATAGGCTAATGTCCATAATATCTTAATAGGTTAATAGGTTAGTGTCTATAATACTTTACTTGTAAGAACATTAGTTTTAATTAAGTCCCAGATATCTCAATTGTTGAAAGAGTAACCTAATAGGCTAATGTCAATAATATCTTACTACATGGAAGAATAATCTTTATAATAACCGTGATATCTTACTTGTTGGAAGAATAATCTTTATAATATCCGTGATATCTTACTTATTTGAAGAGTAATCTTTATATTATCCCAGATATCTTACTTATTTGAAGAGTAATCTTCAAAATTGGCGTGGGTTCGAGTCTCTTCAAACGGTTGGGCGTCAACGGCCCTGACCGCGGGTGGCTGGCCTTTGCTCACGTGCCTCTGGGGTGGAGGGGAATCAGTGGAGGATGAGCTCATGGTAGCGTTGGCTAGCGTGAGTGTCCGAGCACCATTTGTGTCTGTTGATGAGACAAGATGGTTTTATTCGCAGGAGAACGTGAACAGAATTGAAAAGAATCAATGACATGATGATAGTAGAAAGTACATTAAAGAAGTTGAGCAGTAGCATAGATTAAAAAGTCACTATATCCTAAACATGTGCATATTAAATGTCAAAGCAGGTACAAATCTGTAGTATCTACATTACAGGAAGAGCACGCCATTCATATGTCGAGGGTATAGAGAACAAATGCAGTATGTCCACTTTTTTTGTGAAATTGATGTACAATTACACTTATATCGTAAATAATACAAGCTACAAGAACACTCATGTACAATTTCAGTAAAGTAGAATGCAAATATTTTATAAATGTTAAACATAATATTTTGCACTATTTTAGTATTGAAATGAGATTTATAAACTCTTTTTTCTCGTGATTGTTTTTTCGGACATACTGCATTTGTCCTCTATACCCTCGATGTATTCGTTTATATAAACTGTTGGGAGGCAGTATGACCAGTTTCTTTCACGCATTTGTTCTGTGAAGTAGAGGAGCGCTCTCATCGAAGCATGTCCTCAATCCTCCAATACGTCTTCTTCCCCGCCCCCTCCCCCCCCCCCCGCCCAAGATATGTGACAACATTTAAAAAAAAGATTTCATTTAAATATAAAGTCCGCCCCCTCACGAAAATATAAATGCACCCCACCGAAAGTTTCAAGTAACTCCCAACACGCCAGCCCCCGCCCCACCCCCACCTCTGAGATTCATGTTTGAAAGAAACACAGAAAATGGAGAAAACTTCCTTACTCTTATGTTCCTCGCTGAGTTTGTCCTCCAGGAACGATCCTTTACTTCCGGGTCGTCTGCTGTGAGAGTTACCAGACGACTGGGTCCTCCTACCCTCCTCCAGGAGAATGTCCTCGTCCTTTAGTTTGTCCGGCAGGTAGCACGCCCCACCGTTGGTCTTCTGGACATTGGAAGCGACATTTATTTATTGCAACGACATTTTAAAACTATATAAATCTAATGGGGCGGCGTGGCATAGCGGTAGAGAGCTTGATTGCTAACCCGTAAAGTCACGAGCTCGAATACGGGTGCGAATCATTAGTAGGCTACTGATAATGAAAGCAAAGGCGTCTAGTCATGGCGCTGACCACACAATACATGCATATTCCATTGTTTCTGCAAGATTTTTTTTTTTTTGCATGAACTGGAAAAGGTGATGATTATTTCACATCTTAGAATGAGGAAATATAAATTAAATTGCAACTTTAATTTGAAAAAAAAATTCTTATAAACTTCATAACTACTTCATATGCGCGTGAACAATGTTTAAATTAAAAACAAAATTTTTTTTCACACCACAAACTTATGACACTACATTTTCCATATAAAGGAACATGTAAGTTATACTATTACCAAATTTGGCATCTGTAGGTCTAATAGTTTTTTTAAAACGTTTTTCTTAACTCAGCTTCGCGTTTGTTTGTTTGTTTGGTTGTTTGGATGTTTGTTGTTAAAATTGACATCGAAAATTAGCCCACTTCTGATTGCTCTAGAGACCTGAAATTTGGCATGCATGCTACTTTCGCCTAACAATTTCAGATGCAATCATAAAAACTAGCAGATAGTGACCGTAATTAGCTTAATTTAATTACGCCCCAAGGACCATACAATTGAGGACATGATTTGTAAAGATACCGACAAGACTGGAGGCCTATCGACACAGTTACTTCGGCCCCAATCGATGTGAGCGCGCTGGCCGTGATCGTATAGTGGTTAGTACTTCGCGTTGTGGCCGCGACAACCCAGGTTCGAATCCTGGTCGCTCAAGATTTTTAGTCCGTGTATTTATAAACACTTTTTTAAAAACCACGTTTTTCATGTGTAGCAACGGACTAAAAAGGAGAAAATAAAATACTTAAAAAAAACTTTTTAAAAAACCACGTTTTTTATGTGTAGCAACGGACTAAAAAGGAGAACGGACACGGTAACACATTGTTAACGGTGACACGGTTGGTACGCTGGGCATGCTAAAATACACATAAACACGTTTTTCCTTAACTCAGCTTCGCGTTTATTTGTTTGTTTATGGGAGATTTGATCACGTGATTCGTGAGTAGATCTCCACAGTGGCGTAGCCAGGATCGTCTCAAGGGGGGGGGGGTTCCAATTTTTACCCGGGGACAAGCTTTCGATTTGCACCCCCCCCCCTCAAACTTTCGATTTGCACCCCCCCTCAAACTTTCGATTTGCACCCCCCCCCCCCTTCAAACTTTCGATTTGCACCCCCCCCTCATACTTTTTATATATACCGAGGGGTCTATGGGGGGGGGGTTATGACCCCCCCTAACCCCCCCCCCTGCCTACGCCACTGGATCTCCACGCCAGCAACGTAAATTACACCCTTTCTCTGTTTAAAGCGTATCGGTCGCTCAAGATTTTTTTAGTCCGTGTATTTAAAAACACTTAGTCAAGTCATACTTAATCAAGTGATTAGATAAAGTAGAAAATAAACTATATAAAAAACTTTTTAAAAACCACGTTTTTCATGTGTAGCAACGGACTAAAAAGGAGAAAATAAAATACTTAAAAAAAACTTTTTAAAAAACCACGTTTTTCTTGTGGACTAAAAAGTAGAAAATAACTATTTACATACATTTGATGACAAAAAACGTGGGTCGGGCAGATGGGTCGGGAAATTTGATGGTGAACGTACCGACGTTTTTTGTCATCAAATGTATGTAAATAGTTATTTTCTACTTTTTAGTCCACAAGAAAAACGTGGTTTTTTAAAAAGTTTTTTTTAAGTATTTTATTTAGTAAATTTTTAAGTAATGTAACTATGTTCTGACAGCCCCTTAAATTTGAGTTAAAAATTTATTGAAAAATTATGTCTATATCGCGAGTTGCTGTTGCCCATAGTGTAATATAAGTACGTTCGAGAAAGTTTAGGGGAGATCACTCTAGCTTTATTTCTGGCTACAGTTTGTTGTAGGCTAAGATATCCCTCAGCGCTTTACCACTCACAGTTGAGAGTCTGTAAATTACGTCACACTCGTAAAGGGGGGGGGGGGGGTGGAAGCTAGGTCCATAATTTTGTGATGTTATATGATGAAGTTGTAGGGGGGAAGGGGGATAAAATAGTTGACGTCACACTTTTACATTTAAAAAAAATAATCTTAGCCGTTATTATGCGTTTTTGAAAGCAGTTTTGATAAACTGTGATAGAAATTGACTAAAATACCATACGTTGACTGAGATCAGTCAATATTTTAAAGAAAAAAAAATCGGATTAAAAATTAAAATGCAAATGCAATGCAATTTCTAGGGTGGGGGGGGTGTAGGCTGAGGTGTGTCGTCATTTTAGGGGGGGGGGAATTAGCTTTTTTTTTGACGAAATGTGACGGAGGGGAAGGGAAGGATATAAAAAATCTATTTAAAAAAAAACGTGACGTAATTTATTTATGCCCCTTACATCAGTTAGAAAAAACACTTTATTTAACTAATGATATTACATTTTGTAAGTATAGTTGCTTTCAATTTCCGATCGCAAATTCAAGCTTTTAATTAAAAGAGTAGGCCTACTTGTTTTCGAATTAATGAAATTTCACTGTGTTAAAAAAAATTTACAAAAAAATAAAAGGTTAAAGTAAAAAAAAAACCGGACCCCAATATGGACATAACTCACTTGTCCTAAGGCCGATGCAGCCGCCGCCTTGTCCTGTACTAACCACGGCAGAGGTGATGAGATGCCGTTAGGCGCCCCCTCCGTCTGGCCCGACCATTTGCCCTTTGAGTCGTTGTTCATGTCCACCCACGCTTGACTGATTTGGCTGATGGGGCGTGTCGGGACCTCTGGAATAAAAATAAGATTTAAAAAAGAATGCAATAATTAATTTATCTTGTGTTCATAGTGTTCGTCGGCCATACCATTAAGGGTGTAAATAAAATAAATGAAATTATAAGGCGGATTTTCACAACTTAACAAGAACTTGTACACATTCTTCACAATCAATAACTTACATTTTATTTTAAAACATCATTATTGTTTGTGTATTTTAGCATAGCTTTTCAATCAAGCTAGTTCTCATTTGCATGATTAACCCAGTTGTTCCAATCATATTAACCATAAATCGTTAATATATTTTGTTGTACAATTTTTTGTTTAAAAGTTTACTAACTCACATTTTAAAAGATAATTAACCTAACCGTAGAGTTGATAATCCCAGTGGCGTAGCCAGAAATTGGTCATGGAGGGATTCAAAAATGTGTCCATACGTATATAATCATATATATATATATATATATATATATATATATATATATATATATATATATATATATATATATATATACAGTTCTAAACTGTATATATATATATATATATATATATATATATATATATATATATATATATATATATATGTACATATGACTTTATATATAGGGATCGGGGTCCATGGGAGGGGTTATAACCCCCCTAACCCCCCTTCTTGCCTACGCCACTGGATAATCCCATTGAACTTGTGGTCAATACTCACCGTCCTCCTCCTTGGATTGGTCAGTTTTGTCCGAGTTGAGCGAATCACAGTCCTCCTCTTTCAGCCTCTTGTGTTTCCTCCTCCTGAGGTAGACCCGGCACTTGTGTATGCAGTAGATGGCGCTACAGCCTCCGTAGATGAGGATCAGAACAGGCAGCACACAGTACATAGCCATGTTGTTTTTGTCGGAGTAGAACTCCTGTAGGGTACAAGGGGAAAGTTTAGAACTGTAGGGAACAAGGGGAAAGTTTAGAACTGTGGGGTACGAGAGGAAAGTTTAGAACTGTAGGGAACAAGAGGAAAGTTTAGAACTGTAGGGAACATGGGGAAAGTTTAGAACTGCAGGGTACAAGAGGAAAGTTTAGAACTGTAGGGAACAATGGGAAAGTTTAGAACTGTAGGGAACAAGGTGAACGTTTAGAACTGTAGGGTACAAGGGGAAAGTTTAGAACTGTAGGGAACAAGAGGAAAGTTTAGAACTGTAGGGAACAATGGGAAAGTTTAGAACTGTAGGGAACAAGGGGAACGTTTAGAACTGTAGGGTACAAGGGGAAAGTTTAGAACTGTAGGGAACAAGAGGAAAGTTTAGAACTGTAGGGAACAATGGGAAAGTTTAGAACTGTAGGGAACAAGGGGAACGTTTAGAACTGTAGGGAACAAGAGGAAAGTTTAGAACTGTAGGGAACAAGAGGAAAGTTTAGAACTGTAGGGAACAATGGGAAAGTTTAGAACTGTAGGGAACAAGGGGAAAGTTTAGAACTGTAGGGAACATGAGGAAAGTTTAGAGCTGTATGGTACAAGGGGAAAGTTTAGAACTGTAGGGAACAAGAGGAAAGTTTAGAACTGTAGGGAACATGAGGAAAGTTTAGAACTGTAGGGAACATGAGGAAAGTTTAGAGCTGTAGGGAACAAGGGGAAAGTTTAGAACTGTAGGGAACAAGAGGAAAGTTTAGAACTGTAGGGAACAAGGGGAAAGTTTAGAACTGTAGGGAACAAGAGGAAAGTTTAGAACTGTAGGGAACAAGAGGAACGTTTAGAACTGTAGGGAACAAGAGGAACGTTTAGAACTGTAGGGAACAAGGGGAAAGTTTAGAACTGTAGGGAACAAGAGGAAAGTTTAGAACTGTAGGGAACAAGAGGAAAGTTTAGAGCTGTATGGTACAAGGGGAAAGTTTAGAACTGTAGGGAACAAGAGGAAAGTTTAGAACTGTAGGGAACAAGAGGAAAGTTTAGAGCTGTATGGTACAAGGGGAAAGTTTAGAACTGTAGGGAACAAGAGGAAAGTTTAGAACTGTAGGGAACAAGAGGAAAGTTTAGAACTGTAGGGTACAAGGGGAAAGCTTAGAACTGTAGGGTACAATAGGGAAAGTTTAGAACTGTAGGGAACAAGAGGAAAGTTTAGAACTGTAGGGAACAAGAGGAAAGTTTAAAACTGTAAGGAACAATGTGAAAGTTTAGAACTGTAGGGTACAAGGGGAAAGCTTAGAACTGTAGGGTACAAGGGGAAAGTTTAGAACTGTAGGGAACATGAGGAAAGTTTAGAACTGTAGGGAACAAGAGGAAAGTTTAGAACTGTAGGGTACAAGAGGAAAGTTTAGAACTGTAGGGAACAAGAGGAAAGTTTAGAACTGTAGGGAACAAGAGGAAAGTTTGGAACTGTAGGAAACAAGAGGAAAGTTTGGAACTGTAGGGAACAAGAGGAAAGTTTAAAACTGTAGGGAACAAGAGGAAAGTTTAGAACTGTAGGGAACAAGAGAAAAGTTTAGAGCTGTAGGGAACAAGTAGAAAGTTTAAGACTGTAGGGAACAAGTGGAAAGTTTAGAACTGTAGGGAACAAGAGGAAAGTTTAGAACTGTAGGGTACAACAGTAAAGTTTAGAACTGTAGGGTACAACAGTAAAGTTTAGAACTGTAGGGTACAAGGGGAAAGTTTAGAACTGTAGGGAACATGTGGAAAGTTTAGAACTGTAGGGTACAAAAGGAAAGTTTAGAACTGTAGGGTATAATGGGAAAGTTTAGGTGGAACTGTAGGGAACAAGAGGAAAGTTTAGAACTGTAGGGAACAAGAGGAAAGTTTAGAACTGTAGGGTACAAAAGGAAAGTTTAGAACTGTAGGGAATAAGAGAAAAGTTTAGAGCTGTAGGGAACAAGTGGAAAGTTTAAAACAGTAGGGAACAAGTGGAAAGTTTAGAACTGTAGGGAACAAGATGAAAGTTTAGAACTGTAGGGAACAAGAGGAAAGTTTAGAACTGTAGGGTACAATAGGGAAAGTTTAGAACTGTAGGGAACAATAAATTGTACCTGGAACTTAAGGGAACAAGAAAAAGTTTAGGTGAAGCTGTAGGGAACAATAAGTACGTTTAGATTGAACTTTTTAGGAAACTAGCGTTTTTTTTATGTGGAACCTTTAGGAACAAGAGGAAGTTTAGTGAAGCTATGGTGAACAAGAGTAATTTTTAGGTTGAACTTTTCACAACAAGAGCATTTTTAGGTAGGTCTTTCGGAAGAGAAACACTCAGGTGGATTTTAGGAAAAAGAGGAATTTTTAGGCGGAAGAATAGGAAACAAGAGAAAAGTTTAGATGGAACTTTAGGAAATATAAGTGACTTTTATGTGGAACTTTAGCTAACCAGATTAATGTTTAGGTGAAAGTAAAGGAAACAAAAAACGTTTTTGTGGATGTGGTTAAAAAAAGAGGAATTTTTTGTACAACTTGTAGGCCTAAATGCTGTAAAGTAATTTTTTTTTATTCTAGTGTGGGGTTGAGTGTTACGTTTCGCTTGTGAATATGAAATATCAGAAAACATAAAAATGGCTTTTAAAATTAATCATATTATGTGTATTTGAACTAAATTTTACTCGAATCGTTAAAATAACGAAATACTATTCTCATTTTGATGCTCATGCCTAATGTTTTAAACTAACAAATCCCAGCTATGCAGTTTTGTCAACTAAGGTTATCGATAAATATAGTAGCGGAGATGCCATTTTGGAGAAAAAAAAAGTATAATAATGGTTTTTAATAACAGAGATTAGGTGGATTAAATTTAATCCCTCTAGCTTCGTAACAATGAGCAAGGATTACTGATAACATGGAATATGATATGCTAGATGCCTGCTGATAAAACAAGGTAACACGACCAACTTATAAGAACCCAATTAAACCAATCGCTAATTAAGCCTCTGGCGGTCGCATAAGTAGCAATGCATAATCTTTATACTCAGAGGCGTAGCGAGGGCGGGGCGGGAGTTGCGGACCGCACCGCGTGACACCATTTGAGGGGGAGGTGACATCAAGCCAAAATATTGCAAAATGTACAGAAGAAAATGCCTTTTTGCCAGATCCATAAGTGAGTGATTAAAGTGATATAGTCTTTTAAGTAAAAATCGACAATTATTAACAGAGGGTGAAACCATGACGTAAACGTGCTAACTATAAAGACTGCATTATTAACAAACTATAGAGAAACATCGTTACTATTAAGCCTGCAGTGATTAAAGCTTATACACATACATGTTCGCGTATGCGGCATGTATTTAAATTTTAGACCTATGTATGCCGACTCACATACATTCACAAACACACACACACGAATATATATATATATATATATATATATATATATATATATATACTTTGTTTCTTGGGGGGAGGGTGACACCACGAAGTGCCGCACCGGGTAAAACCCGACCTAGCTACGCCACTGTTGAAACTATAATGAATCTGATGAAACAAAGGGTGGTAAGTAAATGTGGCCACCATATCTTCAAATAACTGAATTTCCCCTTATCAAAGTACTAACTGCTTATAAACCTATACAGTAAAACATGTCTTCATGCTCTGACAATTGTACATATTTACTTTAACTATAAGATTATCGTGTACATTCTTTTACAGAGAGTGGTCTCCCATTCCCACCGCTATGTAACATTATTGATTGGGTTTGATTTTTCCGTACTTCAAAACCCCACCTCAATTTGTTCCGCTAACTTCGACATTTTTAAATTATTATTTCTCAATCAATGCAATTATCTTTAGTAATTGTCGTCTCAGTTCAATACTAAAATCAATGTTACCATATGAATTAATAATACAATATAATGTCTATCCTGGAAAAAACTTATTCTCTCCACTATATCCAGTAAAGAATAACTATTTTATTTAAATTGTCTCACCTCTATTTTCTCCAAAATAATTTTGTCGTTACTATTGAGTATCTCATCTAGCATAAGTATTTCAGATCCAGACATACCATTACATTAATATATCACCTCTATTCTCCCTTATATATAGGGCATGCCTAATGTGTCTTAGAAGGGGAGAAGGGGAAAGGACAACATCGCGATAAAAAAGAATAAGGCTGGAATCCCCAGGGTAGGAGGAAAGTTTGTCTGCCAAAGAAATCCTGGAGAAGGACCTTGGAAGATGAGGCAAGGGCTGTCGGGTTAACGTGGGCGCAAATAGAGAGAGATGCTCAAACTCGAGTCCAATGTAGAGGTCCGGCTACAGCTCTTTGCTGCCAAAGGGCCACAAAGGAATAACGTTTTAGATATCAGAATCATTTCTGCTTTATAGGCCTACTTGTTTTACTTACTTCTGAGTAGATCATTAAGCTGAAGCACTTAAAATCCAATCAGAACCATGAAACAATCTCACCTATATTTTATGCCATATAGGCCAACATTTGTCGTCACTTGTGAGTATCCTTTAAACAATAACCATTTAAAATCCACCCAAAACCATGCAATTATCTCACCTCTATTATCTGCCATTTAGGCCTACTTTTATCCTTATTTGTGAATATCCCATCAACAATAACCCCTTAAAATCTAGACACAACTATGCAACAATCTCACCTCTATTTTCTGCCATATACTTTTGTCCCCACTAGTCGAGTTGCCCGTATCCCTACGGGACCGTGACAGCAGTATATCCAGCAGTGAATCCCTGGGCTCCTCCATGTAATCCAGCCATGGCAGCTCCGCGTCCACAAACACGTCAGACTGGTCTGGGGAGTTGGTGCCATCATTGGCCTGGACGGTACCTGGGGGAAACAGGTGTTAGGTTGCTGTTTTAATACATTCTTTGGATGAATGAAAGGGGGTCGGTGTGGTCGAGTCGGTGGACGGTACCTGGGGGAAACATGGGTTAGGTTGCTGTTTTAATACATTGTTTGAAGGAATGAAAAGGGTCGTCGTGATCGAGTCGGTAAAGCTCATGGTTGCTAAATCGAAAAGTCACGAGTTCGAACCCTCGGGCAGATGAGGCTCGTTAGCTAAGGACAGCCACTCTTCTAGGAGAGACAACTCCAAAGTCAAACAACTGCTGCCTTGTAGTTTGTTCTTGGTTGGACAAAGGCTATGGAAGCAAATCCAAAAAGAAAAGCAGGCTGAAATTGGAGTCAATGGCCTCAATGGCGCATATTTAATTGTGTTGGAGGGAATCCCTTCCAACACTAAAATTAAGGAAGAATAAGAATGAATGAAATAAGTGAAATATGTATGTTTAATGGTTTTATTATATAAAGCTAAACTAAATGGCTCCATCAGGCTGGTCTTTCGAGTATGGGACATGCTTGTCATAACCGGTGCTTGGCAGATACAATCGTACCGTTTTTATACATTGTTTGAATTAATTAATTTATTATCATATAATACACAATTAAATGGTTCCATAGTCAAAGACGCTTCGGTTATTGTGCTTTGGTAATCAATGCTTAGGGCCTGGGCAGTAGGTTCAATAGAGCCAAATGTTGATGAATTAATTTAGTGAATTATGTATTTTGAATATGTTTGTTTTATATAAAACTAAACTAAATGGCTACATAGTGTATAAGCCGATTTTAGATATTGCGCTTTAGAAATCAAGGCGAAATATATTGTGAAGAGCCAAATGTTAATGAATGAATTTACTGAATCATATATTTTGAACATGTTTGCATTATATAAAACTAAACTAAATGGCTCATTAATTGTGCTTTGGAAATCCAGGTGCAAAGCCTGGGCAGTACGATGAGAAGAGCTGTATGTTACTAATGTATCAAACCATCTCTCCAAACAGCTGATGCTCAAAAGGAGGCGTTAACTTTTTAACTATATGATACAATTTTGTGGCGTTAAATGTATTCTTTTCATTGACTCTTTTTAGAAATCATTGAATACAATTATTTCAGTAGTGTTTTTTTTTTTATTTGAGTGGACTATTTTACTAAACAATTTGTTTTATATAATATAGCTTTTCTTTGTATCATTATAAGAATTATTGAATAAGACTGGTTTAGTAATTTTTAAATCACATTTTAGTGAACTACTTTACTTAACTAGTCTAACGTGTTAGTTTAGCAAACGAAGACTGTTTATTTTTAACTTTAACACACGTTTTCTTATTTATTGATTGCCATCACACCAAGCCAAGCTTCCCCAACACATACAACTTGTACATAAATATTTTATAACCCAACAATAATCAACATTTGTATAGTAAGCGATTCATTGATTAACAGAATACTTTCAGCACAGAAAGAAATCGATATGGCTATACTAATCTGTGACAACCATACAAAGACATTACTTGACAGATATATGATTAAAACTTGTATGTGTGGTCAACTGGTCAGCGTCTGGTTGCTAAAAATAACCCCCTTTTGAACCTAAAGGTCCATGGGGTAAGTGAAGTAGAGTCCACCTATTTCTGTGACAACGATAAAAGGATAAAAAGATAATGTGGCCAGCACTATGCCCCTCCGCATTTACCTTCCCTAACGTGAGTCAGGTACCAATGAAAGCTGGATGGACTCAGGGACGTCCTACTGAACCCGCCTTTGAACTCGCGACTTTGGTGTTAGAAGTCTAGCGCTCTACCTACTCTGGTTACTAACCTAATCCAGCTGGCAAAAATTTGGGGAAAGAATCGACAACCGGAAATCTCGCTACACCCAAAAGAAATAAAAAGAATAATAAAAAAAAAACGCAAATGTGGTCTGACACACACCCTCACTACACTAAAGATGATGGATATTATAATTTGACAAGAAAACAACAATACACAATCTTTCGACTTAGAACAGACAATAACAGACTAAATCAACACATGCATAAAAAACTAAAGGTTGGGTGTGGCGAAATGTGCCCTTGTGGCAAGGCCCCGGAAAATACGGAGCACGTCCTTCAGGAATGTTCTTTGTATAGCCAGGCGCGAGTCAGACACTGGCCCCTGCTCACCCCACTCAGGGAAAAATTATATTGGGTACCTGCCAACCTGGAGACCACAGTCCGGTTTGTTCACGAAGTTGGACTTGTTGTCTAAATCCTCCACCATATTCTCAATTAAGAACGAAGAAGAAGAAGACTAACCTAATGAATACAGAATTTACCTTGTTTTTAAATTGTATTGTTCTACTCTTCCCTTGATTGTTTCATTATTTCCGTGTAAAGAATATGAACCAAAGATGCGTTACGAATTTAACTTATATTTTAAAAATCTCTGTTGAATTAAAATGTGACGAAATGTTCTACTGTTAGTAAAGATAACTGTTCGCTATGACCACTAAATAAAATCTACAGGATTATCACCAAAACAAACATATGGAACAATATGAACCGGTTACGAACAATTCACGAGATTTAACTTTGGTTATACCTGATCTATTTAAACAACTATAGACAGACCATGACTACGATGCTTTTTACATGCTTTTATTTAGTTCTCAATGTCAGTTTGTTTGTTTGTTTATTTGTTTGTTTTGGTTGCTAAAATATGTAAACGATCTCATGAGCGACCAAATCTTTTGTGAAAGAAAGTAGTTTTATTAAAAATAATGTTATTAATTTATGATAGGTTATCTGTAGTATCGGTACAAATTAATTTGGACAAGTCTTTGGAGTTTTTAAAGAATGTTATCATATTTATAGCCCTGTAACAGAAACAATTTTTCTATAGGATCGTCAATAGACAAATCGTGAGGGTTTTCAAACAATATTATGAAAAGAATGAAACATACACCGTCAGTCTTGATTGAGCGTTAAATTTCAGCTATACCTGTAAAAATAATTATAAGTAGATAACAAATAAAGATTCTTCATTAGCTATTAACTGAGCAGATTTCGTATGTTTCCTGACCTCGACGAGATGGTGGGGTCAGTACTATGCCCCGCCCTCTGTACTTTCCCCAAAAGTCAGGCACCATCAGATCTGGGTGGACTCAGGGACATCCTACAGTCACAATTCTGAACTGAAATCCGACCTCGAGACCTTCGGGTTAGCAGCCAAACGCTCTAACATTCGACCACGCCATCCCTATACACATAATTACATACAAAACAAAATGGTTTTATGTTATGATAAACTTTGTACATATACCATCTGTCTTGATTCTGTTACTTACTCGTGTACAAATATTGATAGAAAACAAAGGTGATTTATAAATAATGCTAAGTTAAACTTTGGAATCCACAGGGCAGGAGGAGGAGAGGCAGACCCAGAAAGACCTGGAGACGTGACCTGGAAGAAGACACCAAAAAGATTGGATACACCTGGGGACAGTTGGAGAGACTAGCCCAGGACAGAGATGCCTGGAAAGCTCTTGTCAGCGGCTTATGTCCCAGGAGGGGCGACAGGCAAACCTAACCTAACCTAACCTAACCTAATCTAAACTTTGCACATAAACCGTCTGTCTTGATAGAGCGTTAGCTATGCCGACACCAATACGGTTAAAAAACAAAGGTGGTTTTTATAATAATGATATGATAAGCTCAGCATATAAACGGTTTTGTCATTACTCAGCATCACGTGACATGACACAGCATAGAAAGTGCTAAAAATAGATATATGATGAAGATTGATAGTGGTGATAGAAAATATTGGAGATGATCGATCGCCGGCAGTGTGTTGGCCAAAACTACTCGATAGTCTGTGAATGATTTGATTACAGTTGGGCTGTATTCTATGGTTTTTATTTTCAATCGTGTATTGATGTTATGTTTGTTTGTGGATTTGGGTTTTGTGTGTGGTTATTGTCTGGTTATGTGTATGTTTTTGAGTGTGGTTGTGTGTTTTTAAGTGTCTGTTTCTTTATATGCTTGTAAAGGATGTTTTGATTCGCGTGTTCGTTTTTGTTTTCACACATGTATTGATGTTATGTTTGTTTGTGGATTTGGGTTTTGTGTGTCGTTATTCTCTGGATATGTGTATGTTTTCGTGTGTGGCTGTATGTTTTTAAGTGTCTGTTTCTTTGTATGCTTGTAAAAGATGTATTGATTTGCCTGTTCGTTTGTTTGTCTTTTTGTGTGTGTTTGTGTGTTTGCTTATTTGCTTTCTTTTGTGTCTGCTTATGCAACTGCTTATATTCTGTATGTATATTTGATTATTTGATTGCTTTGGTATGTCTCATAGTGCTCCTGATTGTATATGTTACTCTACTTGTTTGCCCCTAGCTAGTCTGATGTTGTGTCTAATTTCTACTTGTGTGTCTATTTGTTTATACTTGTTTCCTACGAGTACTATAAGTGTGTCCTTGATTCTAGTTGTATCGTTCTAGTAAGTTTAGTGTAACTCTAATACCAGTAAGTCTTTTTTTAACTATAGTTGCTTTCTACTAGTGTGTCTACATGCGATTCATCTTGTTTCCTACTAGTGTGTCATACTTGTGTGTCTGCTAGTGTGTCTGTTTGACTCTTCTAATTCCCTTCGAGTGTTTCTTCTAGTGTGTCTGTTTATGACTCTCCCCTTCGAGTGTGTCTTTATAACTCTACCCTACGAGTGTGTCTGCTAATGTGTCTGTTTATAGCTCTACCCTACGAGTGTGTCTGCTAAATGTGTCTGTTTATAACTCTACCCTACGAGTGTGTTTGCTAGTGTGTCTGTTTATAACTCTACCCTACGAGTGTGTCTGTTAAATGTGTCTGTTTATGACTCTACCCTACGAGTGTGTCTGTCTGTCTGTGTTGTTGCCAGTTTACTCGAGGCGAGCATGAGAGACTAAATGTCCCGAAGAGGCTTTGGCCCCAGGTGAATGACATATCGATCTCCATCGATTTATTTGTTGCT